TCAGGTCAATAAGCTCGGAATCACATTTACCAGTACTCATTGGAAAATTAGATCAATTGGCGCATTTCTGCACAATTCTTTTGCGGGCCGGATAAAATCACATCACGGGCTGCATGTGGCCTGCGGGCCGTAGTTTGGAGACCCTTGCTCTAAACCAAAAAAAAAAAAATCATAACATTTTAATGCAGAAGCCCACATATGGCAAGACATGGAATGTTTTTCACTGTGCCCTAACTTTCAGAGAGGATGCTTTCAGACTTGACTGACAAATATCTTAATCATGACCCAAGAAGTTACATTTCCCCAAGCATAGCTCATGACCTGAGAGAGAACATTTGGTCAAGCACAAATTTCATAGTCTGTAAATGGTAAAGTGTATGCATCACATTGTAAGGCTGTTCTGTTTTGGAAGCTAGCCTAGAAAGTACTAAGAACTGTCTCTCTAAAGCATTACACCACACTTGCAGGAAAATGTACAACTGGTGGAGCAAGCGTATGCATCGTTCCAACACCAAGAATCTTGAAAGGAAGTACACACGTTGGGAGGAAGACTTTCAACTCCAAGATCCAGGACGACTTGCACTTTTTGAAGAATATCTTGAAATGGGTACATATCCCTGACCAGGCACTGTCAATCTACTCTAAAAAACAGAGCTACCTTGTGAATTGTTATGGTAACTTCACCCTTTTTGCCTTTATTTGATTTCAGTTCTTCAATATGGCTTTGTGACCCTCTTTGTTGCTGCTTTTCCACTAGCACCACTATTTGCCCTTCTCAACAACATTGGAGAAATACGCCTAGATGCATATAAAATGGTGACACAAGCTCGGAGGCCTCTTGCTGAGAGGGTTCAGGACATTGGTGCATGGTATGGTATACTACAAGGTGTCACTTTTGCTGCAGTAGTATCAAATGTAAGTTATAATAGTGTACATTACCTCAACAATCTTAAAGTGTGGCAACCAGCTATTTTTATGAATGATACTAAAACATCAGAAGTAATGAACATTAAGGTGTGATTACATTTTGGGTGTTTAAATTTGATGTTTCTTCCCTTCTCTGTACATTAGGATTCAGTCTTACATACTTCTTTCTTCATGGCCAGTGACTGGATTCGGTTAGTTTCAATTCTCATTTCATGCATCCTGTTGTGTTACAATACACGAGGGGCAGTCAAAAAGTTCCCGGAATGGTGGTATAGCACTCTAATGGCAGGACATATGGCAATGCTTACGTAATCTCCTTCAAAGTAGGACCCCTGCACGCGCACACACTTGCTCCATCGATCCTGCCATTGTTGGAGGCAGCGGTGGAAGGCTTCTTTTGGAATCTTCCAGAGCTCAGCCATCGCATTCGATTTGATGTCCTGCATGGTTGCGAAACATGTCCCCTTGAAGACCTTTTCAGAGTAGGGAACAGCCAAAAGTCACTCGGAGCGAGATCCGGAGAGTATGGTGGTTGAGTGATGACAGGAATGTTTTTCTTGGCGAGGAATTGCGGCATCGTGCAACCTCTGCAAAACTTGCATGTAGAAATGGCCAGTAACAGTACTAATGCCTTGCTCCAACTCCGCGATGGTCATTCTTCGATCACATAGAATCAGCTGTCGCAGGTCTCCACTGTGCTGGTCATCCTCTAACATCTCCTGCCCATCCTTAAACCGGGGAAACCAGTAGTAAACTGCGGATTTCTTTAGTGCAGTATCACCATAAATTTGCTGCAGGGCCAATAGTGTCTCTGAAGCAGATTTTCCCAATTTGCACATGAACTCTATGTTCGCACGCTGTTTGAACTATGACACTGCGCCGAATGACCAACACTCACATCTAATTCAAACGGAACAGTAACGACACTGCATACTGAAACCTGTCCAGACCTGTTGCGCCTGCGAGCAGACATGCTGAGCTTACCACAACAGTGTGTGCGCTATCTTATCACTCGTTCTCCGTCTGCAGGGGAATTCCGGGAACTTTTTGACTGCCCTACTACAACTTCTTTATTAACCGTCACAACACAACAAATATCAAGGTCAGTGCCCAGCTACGGTTCTGCTACGTTCCGGCTATCAATAGCCATCATCAGGCAAATAAATGTTTAACATATATACACCACTGAACTGCAGTACTATTAAACTGGATACAATACTATTAAACATTTAAAACACCTGATGTAAAAAATACAATAAATCAGATTATATAAAAAAAGAATAAAATTTTAATTGATGTTTTATAACATCGAATCAGTCGTTGGTTTTGTATTTTCGTACGTTCCCATGGACAAATTGGAATATTCTATATTTTCTTCTTTTTGTATATAAGATTTTATAGGAGGCTCATGATGTAGATGTAGTAAATTAATGTTAATCTGAAAATTATATGAAAGTAATAGTATTAAATTTTGTTATAATCAACAACTGATTTTGATATTGAAGATATAGTATATTACTTACTGTTTAGTCGGTGCCTCATCTTACAAAGTGTTGTCCGCACTATAGGGAATGTAAACAACGACTGATTTGGTGATGTAAGATTAAAGTCAATGCAAGGGAGGGAGGGGGGAGGTAGAGATAAGGTGTATGCGGAAGTGAAGATGGGGGGGAAGAGGGTATAAGAGTATATTATGTTTTGTATGTATCAATTATTACATCATATATAGGGGGTTCTTTTTTTAAGCTCCCGTAGGAGCTTTCAAAAATTGCCGAAAGCGACGATATTTCACGTCACCTTGGCGGGGTATTGGTATAAGTTTTCAACTAGCAATAATTGCACCTTGGATAAACCTCATTGGTTACGATATTGCC